CCTTTCACTGGCTAACGCTGGGCGTACGTGTGCCGGAGTACTCCCGTCAGGGGCTGTCTGTTGCCGGACGGCCCGGGGAGGTGGTAGCTCTGTCAGCGTAGTCTCTTATTTGGTGAATATCGGTACTACCGCGGCTCTGGTTTGCCCCCCCCCCCATCTCTCTTAGGTCTGTGTTGGCATCAATGGAATTGAAACGCTGACAAGTGATGTGTGGGGTCTCTTGTGTGTACTTCAGCAAAGCTATCATTTATGTATCCATATATAGATATCCTTTCGGGTTCTCTTCAAGCAAAAGTCTCTCTAATTGCTTATTCCTTTCTATTGCTGCTGCTGTTGCTGCTCTTCTGAAAGACACCGTCCCTGGCTGAATGTGCCTTCTTGATGAAGGCGGTCTTTAAAGTGGGTCGATGTGCTATGGCGGTGCTTACTGCAAAGGGATACTGCGACTCTTCGCATCGTTGGAGACCAAATGCCTCACTGGATGAGATACCTTCAGTTATTAGGGATGGGATTGCTGTTTCACTTCATGAAAGGTGCTGGCAAACTTTGGCAGACAAAATTATATCCCAGCAGACTTGGGTCTTGTTCTCGTGCGAGATGGCTTGCAAATAGTGAAGACGTGAGGGGCTGCCCCTCTCAGTGCTTCTTGGCGTTGTAACACTGGGAAGTTGCGTCATCTTGGAAAAAGCCTGTGTCACGCAGGCAGTGTGGAAACTTACCAAGTAAAGGGAATGGTGCACAGTGGCAACTATGGCTTTAGTATTGCAGGCTGCACTTAAGAAATTTGAGAATATTGAAAGAGTATGAATTAAATAATCCATATTGCACTTGAGCTCTACGTCACTAATATAGGTTATATGTAATAAATTTCTGCGTTTCACTGTGGGTCTCACTGTAGGGTGGAAAAAATCATTTGACAGGCAGCTGGCAACTTCAACAGTAGGTAATGAAAACTAATTACTGCTGGTTTCTAAGCTATGTTCACAACATAACTTGATTATGCTTAGCTAGAAAACATTTTCACCAAAAGAGAAGCGGGGGAAGAATTAGCCTCTACCTCAACCACAAATGAGACTACTTATTTCCACTACATCTTTAGAACTGGGGAGCTGGTGTTTAGTGGGTCTGCTCTACATTACTGTAATACTTTCAACATAAGTATAATCGTAGGCAAATGTGGTCCCTGTTGAAGTTGAGCTTCGAGGACAATGAACTGCATGCGGTAGCGAAGTAATATTGTGAAGATACAGGCAATTATTGTTGCATACTCTACCTAATACGGTGAAATGATGTATCTGTCGGCCTCTGCTGTTGGATTTCTGCCTCCATAGTTCGACTTTGATGATTTCTTAGAGATTAGTTCCTTGGCGTTATCTACCTGTATTTTAAAACTGGATGTTAAAGCTGCTTAATTAACTATACAAATGTGGTTTCTGGATGTGATGTCTGTGCAGAAAATCTGTTCTTCACTTAGTGTTGTATTCCACTGTTCTCAGCTGAAGAGCGCTGTCAGACATCCGAGCCTTGCACCCTATGATGCGGTATTATCATAAAGCTGGCTGTCAAAGGAAGGTCCAATTTCCAAGCAGGAGGTGGAGCTGTCAAATGAGCCTTGGTGGGGAAGGATAATCCTGCGGAATCAATATCTGGTATCAGTTGGACACAACATTGGTGGACATGCCAGAAGTCTCAGCTGTAACTATGTGAGAGGGCTGCAAAAGCAGCAGGTTCATAAGGAAGCCTTTGGACATTCCTAGCTGAACATACACTGGCAATCTATCGAGACTTTTCATGTTTTGGAAACGAATGCTAGGCTGTAACGTGAGAGTTAATTTTTCACATGCTTTTAGACAGCAGCTCACTAGTGAGCTCTGAATCTTGCTTTGAAGACTGCTTCAAGGAGTTGTTTTAGCTACAGTGGGTTGGAAAGAGATTGGAAGGAAGGAAGTGGTGCAACTTTGTACCATGTTGTCATTCCCTAAGTCCTAAAAAATGTAAGCAAATTTATCCTGAAGCCCTTTTATGGATTCAGTTAAAGGCAATCTGTAAGTGCTCAGATTTTTTTTAGTGGAGAAAAAGTTATGAGGATGCAGCTAGCTTTAAATGTGGTTAGTTCAAAGGAAAAAGTATTTGTAGCGCTTCTTACAGGCCTTTTGCAAGTTGTGTGAATATTAAGTGTTGCTAGGAGAGACCCAAGCAAAAGGAGAGATCTATAGTGGAGAAGAAACAATGAAATTGGATATGTAAAGTTACGTCAAATACTCCAAATTCTCTTGAGAATAGGGAGAGGTGCTGGATAGCTGATGTGAACATAAATAACAGTAAACTCCAGAAGCTGGAAGGTAACTAATGATTCTTTTTGTCTTCCTGGTTTGTGAGTCAGTGTGGGCATCCAGAGAAACTGTTTTGGTGAAAGCATCCAGCTTTATGAAGAGAATCTTGTAAAGTAAGAAAAAAACAAAAAAATTCCAACTATAGAAGAATCAAGGTCCTATAATCTAGGCCGTGCTGCAAAATGGCTGTATGTACGAAGTCCAAAGTTCATGTTTGGTTCTGTGAACCCACCTCTTCATCTAAATAATGTTACATCAGTTGACTTTTTTTTTACAACCCTACCTCTGCAGTTTGTCTACTTTTAATATACGTTGCATACTGTGTTACTCCACTATATGTATATGGAATTTTGTTTGAACTCTTGTGCATCTAAAACCCAGGCTTCTTTTTTTGTCAGGACTTGAACTACACTTCTAGAGTAGTGTTAGAAGTGTGTTACTCTGGAAACTTCTCTCTCAGTGGATATTTCTGCTGTTAGACTTGAATTTCCTGCATATCAAACATCAGGATCTTGCAAAAAGATGGTGCTATCTCAGAACTGACTTTGCTCATTTTGGGTTCTGTCACTGGTCTGCCTGCTTGAATTCCTTGTAAGAGTAGTGTGTGATCACAGATAAAACTGCCAGGGTATGTCCAGGTCCAATACAATATGCCAGACTATTTTCCACAGTGAATGCCTATGTCAGTGCTGGCTGGCTTTTTTGGGGCTCACCCACTCACAAACCTCTGACTGTTGCCAGAGGAGGAATGAGGTGGCTGAATTCCATGTGAGTTAGGGGGTAAAGGTAGGTCAGGAATGCTGAAAAGAAAGGAGGAGGAGTTTTCTTCCTCAATTCTTTCATCTGTTGGTGATGAGTTGGGTTAACTTCTTGGCAAGCTAGCTCTTGGATAGTGTCAGCCCTTGAAACATCACCTGCCCATTGGGAAGATTTAACACAGCCTGGGCTGTCATTCTTCATTCCAGCACAGGCTTCTGAGCAGGGATCGTGGATGCTCTTGGTTTTTGGGAGTGTGTTGCTCAGTCTGTGGTCTTTAGAGGGCTCCCAGGAAACATCTGATGAGGCATGACAAGACCTCTGTGGCCTTTGTCTTTCTGGAAAGAGCCCACTAAAGCTGAGGGAAAGTGTGTTTTGTTTCTCTGGAAATGGGCTGAGGCCTTAAAGGGAAAACAACTTATTGAAATAGTTAAAACGTTATTCTGTCATTCGTCTTTTACTTCTGAAGCTTGAGGCTCTTGCCCAAGGCCCTCTTTCAGAGGAGTGGAATATAACTGACTTGAAAGTTTGTCTCATCCCTGGCACACAGAGCTGCAGGTGCTGTCTACCTGCCAGTTAGCAGCATGGTTGGTAATAAAATGCTGCACGTTACTAAATGAAAAAACGTGTAGTTAGTATGCAAACAAGCATAGGCTTGTCGACAAAAGAGCACTTTACAGTTTCATAATATCCAGATTCTTCGTTGATGTATCAAGCCTTCCTAGGAATAGAGTGAAATGCCAAAATTCCTTATATGAAAATGAGTAGAGAGGACTCTGGATCATTTCTTGGCTCTTAGGTACGGAAAGGGAACGTGTTTCTCTTCATTAGAGCACAAGCATTACCCTCAGTAGAAGTTTTGAATTACCCAGACTTCACGTAGAAAGAGCTACAAATGGGGGTTTTATTCTCTGTTTAAGTTTTGCTTGCTATTTCTTCCAAACAGGTGGTGGTCAAGATGCCACTGTTGCCTTTTTGTTGTGCTGCTTTTGTCAGTGAAATGCTGCTCAGAGCAAAAGCACCTCCAAAGATGAGGTGGAGGAGGAATAAGACAGGTAAGAGCCTTTTCAGTCTTTCATAATCTCTTGGGTGGTGTGTTTTCTGCAGATGGTCGCTATTCCAGGAGGAGTGTTCACAATGGGCACTAATGAGCCTGAAATACAGCAAGATGGAGAATGGCCTGCTAGAAGAGTCCACGTTAACAGCTTCTACATGGATCAGTATGAGGTCAGCAATGAGGAGTTTGAGAGATTTGTGAATTCTACTGGGTACGTTACTGAGGTAAGGCAGAAAGGTATACAGTCTCCTGTCATCTTTCTTTGTGTTGGCAAAATCCCGTTAAAAACTTAGGCTTTTCTTTTTTTTGAAGGATGTCACAATACTTGCTTGGGCTTTGCCTACTAGAATGTTTCTGATGTAAGTAGTGTAGAGAGAAAGTTGTCTTGCCTTGCTGCCCAGGGGTCTGAAAGGGCATTTAAACGTATACTGTTACATTTAGTAAGTGTCTTGATATCTGAACTAATCTCTTCCCTACAGTATGACTGAGGCAGCCTGGGTGAAGCTAACAGATGGCTGAAGACGTCTCTGCAGGTTTTTGGGGGGTTTTGTTGTTTGGGTTTTTTTTGACCTTTGGGTCCTAGGACATCTTTGTACCAGTACAACTATGTTGTTAGATTTTTCCTTATTTTAGAGGAACCAGGGGAGAAGGGATTTAAAAAACAGTGATAGCTGAGGACTTTGCAGGCTAGTTCAGCGCAGCTACTTGCTAATGAGCTGAGCAGTAGAAAGCCCTGCTGTCTAAAGAAGATACAATAGCAAGTATAATAATAGAGTTTTGTGCATGTTACTGGGAGCAACGAACTAAGAAAGAATATGTTAAGGTTCTTCCAAGAAAGAAGTTACCTGTGCCTGAGGCTCTGATCTTTCCTGACAGTTGACTGTTCCTACGCAACTTCTATAAAACCCTGACAGGCCTTTTAGGCAAATAAAAGCCTCGGTAATGATCAGGTCTCGGAGGAGGCACTTCACTGAATTCACTTGATAAACTGGTTCTCATTTGGAAGACAGGATCCTTCTGGTTGGATGAAGGGTTTCTTTTATCTACGGCACTATTTCTGTTTTTAAATTCTTAGCTCAATAATTATGAAAAAAGGTTGCTTAACAATTTTGAGTTTGAACAGGGCTTACTTGTTGCCAACAGCTTCTGGAATGAGCGCGTGTGCAGTGGTATTTGAATGCAGCGCTGCATCAGCTGGGGTCTGTTTCAGACAGTGCTTCATGGCTCAGCGGGTGTAGTTGGGTGCTCCACTTACTCTTTCTCCCTTCCCCCCTCACATGGGGCCCCCTTTTATGCTGGATTTGGAAAAATAAACTCAGAGTTAGAGTAAACAGCACTGATTCTGCAGAGTTTTTTTGGGATGCAGCTAAGTTGGTTTTGTGTATTTAAATAACGTCTGCATTACTTACTGCGGGTAAACAGAGCCAACCTACTTCTTGGTTTCCTTTTATTAAGGACTAGACTGAACTCCAGTGACAAATGAAACCTGAAAGTGACTAGAAAGCTGAAGAAAAAAATCTCCAGATGTACAGCTATCTCATGGACCCAAAAGTATTTTTTTAAGAAACTTAAAAAAAAGCCCTTGATGGAGGCTGTCAGACTGAAATCTGGGGTCCTTTACATGATAAACCTGTTTGCCTCTGCCTGGGTCTTTCAGATTGGGCAGGAGAGAAAAAAATAAGTTGTTTTTTTTTTCTTCTCTTTGATAAACTTGTTTGCGTCTTTGTCTGGGTTTTTCAGATTGGGCAAGTGAGAGAAGTTAAGTGTTTTTTTTTCTTCTCTTTCCTTTCTGAAACTGAATGTATAAAGATTACGGTCATATGCTAAAATGTCTTGCAATTTGTGTGGTGAATGGGATTCTTCTTTCAAACTGTGCCTCTTGAAGAGTTCTGAGCGTGCAGAAGCAGCTCATGGTTATCGGTTATCATTCGCAGTCTTTGAATGCCTGTAATAAAATGAAGAAATTGAGAAGGACAAATGTGTTGAATTCTGATAACATGTTTTGACTTCCCTAGTATATCAATTCACTCTAGGTTTTTTTTTTTTCCCCCCTTGGTAAACTAGGTTGGTGTCGTGTACTGTGATTCATTGAAACTGTGTATTTTTTGTTTCTTTTGGCTTTATATAATGCTAGATATAATGATTGGATTACTTTTAACTCTTCTATTGTTGTAACAGCACTTTAAAACATGGTGCTAGTGATAATGAAGGAGGAGTAAGTGACAAGGCTTAAGTCTTTTATTGTGATTCCCAAAGGAAAAATAAGAGAAATGAAATATGCCCTTGAATGTTAGATTATTGACTGTAGCATTTTAAAGCAGTTGGGACAATTGGAACTGCATTTTTAATTAATAAAAGTAAAAACATTTGCAGAAGCTCTGTGAGCTGCCATCTGTCCGGTGGCTGCTGAAGAACGACATCCAGACATAAAATACCTTTGCTTTTGTTCCAAAATAGCTTCCTTGAAAGACAACTCAAAATTACTATTAGAATTTCCTAATCCTTGAGTGGCGTTTTGAGAATAACATTCCTTTGATAATATGGCTGACTCTTTTGTTCTTTCTGTAGGCAGAGAAATTTGGCGATTCCTTTGTGTTTGAGGGAATGCTGAGTGAAGAAGTGAAGGCTGGCATCCACCAGGCAGTGAGTAACACAGCAGGGTAAAACTTACTTAGCAATCACTGGGGAAAATGTGTTAGCAGTTGTGGGAGTAATATCGAAATCGTGTGATGTTCCCAAAGCCATGCACAAAAATGGGGTTTATGGAGGGGTGTTTGGCCTAGAATAATAGACACCCTCAAGTGTGGAGGATTTACAGTCTATTATCTGTTGTTTTTTTAAACAAACAATTAAAAAAACCCAAACTTCTGATTTAGCAAAAGTTAGTATCAACCCCTTCTTGTCTTTTTTTGCCTCTTAAATGAGAGGTATTTAGGACTGTACTAAGTGGTGCAGTAAGGCTATTAATTAATACAAATAAACAGCCTTATTTATTACGTGTAACACAGCGATGCTTCAGAAGTTCAGATGTCGGTAGTGGCTCTGCTGAGTGATATGCTGTGTAGGCAAAGAACAGGAGTGCTTCTGGCTCCAGGAGCATGTGACTGACGTGCTCTGCCAATGCAGTCTTAATGTCCAAACGAGGTGGGTAAATCCCAGATCCTACCGATTTAAGAAAATGAGGATAATCTGTGTATCTGATGTGATAGCGATGCTTGCATGAGTGCTTTTTCTAGGTTCACTAGAAGGAAATATTCCAAAGAAGTGCCATTTCTATGGCAGACCTGAGTCTATAAGACTCCTTATTATGTTGTGAATGGTTTAAGTTTACTGTGCTTCCTCCATCTCTGTAGCAGATCCTGTATGCCTTGCTGTTTTTTCAGTTCCCTTCATCTTGCTAGGGCAACACAGTGATCCTAGTAGGTGCAGTGCTGATTAAACTGGAGTTCAAAGTTCTAAAAGTTTGGTAGCGAAGCTTCCCTGCCCTCCTCTTTCCTCTTCTTCTGTTGTGTATGTGTTGCTGAGCCTTTCTTAGGCTTCATTTACCTCCTCCTTAACCTTAACAGGTCACTTAACCTTTACAGCTCCCAATTATAAGCAGATTATGTCTTGTAATCTCCTGGATGGATTTATCTGCTTTGAGCAGAAGTTTGGACACTGTGACCTCCTGAGGTCCCTTCCCAACAGAACTATCCTAAGGTCTGATGAACACCACTGCATTTCCAGATCTCGTCCCATGCCTTTGACAAGGCCTTAGAAATGAAGCATTCTGATGTGCATAGTGTGGCAATTTTTTGGGTTTTTTTTGGGGGGTAGCTTCAAGTTGCATTTACTCTGGGTGGGAATTTCTTTGCTTTTTTGGTTAATTTTCTTTTGGATCAGCGAAGCTAACTTGGGTCATTCTGCAACTGCTTGAATCAACACAGGGAAGCAGGTTGTACAGAAGGAATAAGGTAGTAACAGGACTGAAACTGCATCTTTTGGCAATAATTCAGTTAGACATAAGTAAGCGTTAAGTGAAACTGCACCTATAGAGGAGCACATCTTTTATTTGAAGGTAGAATAAATGCAGATGGGTTCATCCCATCTTCACAACAGGAAATTCAGCTGTCAGTATTAGAGAAATTTTTTCCTGCCCTAGTTCTGTGATGCAGAAATCCCTAAATTAGGCTCTCTGTTTTAAAACAAACAAACAAAAACCTAAGATTGCTGGTGTAAGCCCAGTCTTGGCTATTTGTATGAACACATACAGAGCGTTGGGAGCCACTTTCCTGGGTGTGTCAGCCAAATTTTAAAGTGTTGGCTGTAATGCTAACAGAACAAGTATTATGCCAGAGAGCTGGAATGGAGCCCAAACTGGTCTTTTTGGCTGCTTCTTTATGAAGGTTTTCTCTATTTGTTGAGAGTAAACTTTAGGAGACTGTCCTTTTGCCATGTCTTTCAGTATTTATTATTAGGTAACTTTGTGAGTTGCTGGCATGCAGAGCATTGTTGGAGTAGGCACAGAGAAAGACTGTACTAATCATTTTGGTAAAGTGATTTGGAGAATAGTGACTGCCTGCCTTGTAGTTTGGCACTTCTTAACTTCATGCTGATGCTGTGGACAAACTTAAGTTCTAAAACATGGTAATATTGTGAGGAGGTGAAAAAGAAACTAGAAGCTGCTTTTCTTCCTCCTGTCTGCCTGCCCCCTCACCAGCTATATACCATGAAATCCAACTTTTAGGAAGGAACTTCTGTCTGCAAGGAGAAGGTGTCAGGAGGCAGCTCAGTGGTAGAGCTGGAAAAAGAACTCTAATGTCTGAAGATACAGCTTAGAATTTTATCTGTATATGCTTCTGCCTCTCAAAACTGTGTCTCTGTTCTAGTATGCATTTTCTCTGAGAGCTTATAAATATTGAGAGTACTGTGCAGACCTTAGTTGTTTTGAAGGTCCTTGGTTTTTGTGGCAGTGCAATTTGCAGACTAGAACAAGCAAGCATCTTTCAGTTGCAGGGAAGGGAAGCATCAGCCATGGGGATGTGATGTTAGAATATAAGGTAGTCAGATTGCTTCTCAGACACCCGCATTCTGTGTAGGCCATGCTTATCCCAGCTAGTTGAAAATAAGAAAATGCATTAGCAATTTTCTATAGATTGTGCTGTCAAGAAACACGTGTCTATAGACAACTTGCAAGAAACTTTTTATTGCTAAAATGCAGAAGCATCCCAACTATGGGGCAGGGACTCTAAGGGTTCTGCAAACCAAATTCTTCCTAGGGATCTGCAAGCTTAAATTAAACAATAGAAAATAAAAGCTAGCTTCTTGTTACATTGCCCAAAATGTTTAAATTCTACTAGTGTCTGCTGGGGACAAAATGGTGAAAGGAATTTAATACTATTCAATTACTTTAAAAAAAAAAAAGTGAGCATATTTTAAAACTTGGCTACTGCAGTGTAACTATTCAAATGTAATCAGAAAAAGTGTAAATTGCCTGAAGTTGGTTTGCATCAGTAGATTGTAGTGATCAGCAATAGAGATGATTAAGGCTTTTTTCTCAATGTATACCTTAGTCAACTAATATTTTTAGCTTGTGGTACGTACCTTCTTGAATCATAGCTATCACCGTGAAAAGCAGAAATAAGATATAAACATTGGTGTGTTTCAGTTCTGCTACTGAAACCCGCCCCACCAAAACTGATGGGAGAAAGGGCTGTATTTTTACTTTGCCTTAGTGGCTCAGACGTGTTTTGATAAGGCTTTTCTCCAGTTGAAGCACAGGGTGCTAAATGCAAATGTGAATATAGGGGAAGAGGAACAGGAATGTGTATTTTGGAAGTAGTATTTCATATGCAGTGAAAGAATTGAGGAAAGGTGGAAGTGAAGATATTGAACTAAATGATACATAACAGCTCCTATAAACAATGAGGTGCGTCTGTCTCTTGGGGAGTATCTGGGGGTTTTGCTCTATTTGGCCACTTTGGCTTCTCCAGTTCTTAAACCAGACAAATTTGCCATAGGCCCTCAAAGGAAGCAGGGAGCTAAATTAGAACAGAGGTGGGGCTGGTGAAAGCTAATGCGGGAGCAAACTGGCTTAGCACGTAGAATAATTGTTGGAGCTTTGGGTGTGCATTTCCTGGAGGTGAGGTGGTCTCCTAGATAGCCACTGCTACAGGAATGTAGGTTGGACCTAACCCTCCTCTGGAAGGGAAGCAGTAAAAAGGGGTGTGGCAGCCAATAATTGAATTGTTCTGGATTTCTGGGAACTTGAGTTGTAGTTTTGGCCTCAAAGTTTGTGGTGGTAACATGGCAGAGAGCAAAAATTTAGCGCTGTAACAGATGAGGGTGTTACTGATAGAATTGGCGAGGATTTTTTTTTTTTTCTTCAAATAAAAAAGGATTTTCTAGGGAGAGGGTGGAAGGTCCTTTGAAACCAAAACATTTTGTGTGGGCTTAACAAGTTTTGATAGCTTCACATATTAAAATCAGTTCTCAGACTTGCAGATTAAAACCAACTACTAATTACTGCATCTATTACAGCTATTAAGTTATGGCCTTTCTTGGGTATTTGGCCTTTGGTTTAGATATCATAGATAAAACACAGCCTAGAATTGCCAATAGCTTGGCATTCAGAGATTATTTTTTCTTTCCTTCTCTTTTGAGAGAATTTGGGGAAATGGAAAAAGCTCAAAATTTAGATATTTTGCTATTCTTATTTTATGATGAAACTGTTTTCCTGCTCTTTTATCTCCCTGACTGAGCTAAGGAGGAAGTAGAGAGGGGAAAATGCATGCCCAGTGCTATTATTCCGTGGCATTGTAAAATGCCATTTATATGGCATTTTAATGTATCCTAGAGCAAAAAGCATGGGGATTGTGTCTGTGAAATGAGAAGGTACTGAGGCGTGCTTGCCAGTGAGGGGATTTGAGAGCTCTTGCAAATAACTGCAAGAGTTTCGCTTGCTGTGCAGCTGCCATGAAAAAGGTAAACAGGGTAGTGCTAACCGAGACTGGAGTACAGCATAAGTCAGATTTGCTCACTGGAGGGTAGTGGGAAGGCTTTTTTATTCTTGGCTTGTGGAAGATAAATTCTGCAATGAAGAGACGAAAGCATATGGATCCGTATACTTCATTTGTCTTCAGGAGGTATTGAATTTTTGGTCTGAGAACGCAATGAAATTAGTTCACTGGCAGACTCGAGCAAATACTATTAAGGAGTTCTGGTCAGTCTAGGACTATTGGATGCTACTTTCATCCCTGTTAGTATGGAAACCTCTGCAGTGGTCTTTAGCTGTGCAATTTACCTATTTAGAGCAGTGCCTCTAGCCTGTAACTCAAAGGACATAGTCCCATTATAAAAACAATGAAAACATTATGCATTTCAAATGAGTATTTCAAATTAATGAGGAAGTGAGCAATGTTTGCAGGTAGGATAGCAGCACTAGTGTTTGCAGCAGTTATTAATGGAGAATGTACCTTCTGACAGCATGCAATATTAACTTGCTTATCTGTGGCTTGGGGGGAGAGCAGGTAGGTTATTGTATAGTTTGGCTGATACTGTTAAAATGTCAACATACATAGGATACATAAGCAGAAGTTGACAAATATACTTATTGCTACTTTAAGGGTAAATTTCATCTCTACCATGCTTGGCTTTTGCTTTTT